GGTTTGGTGAGTTTCGCTTTTTTTCTTTGCTCAAAATTCTTTTGATGTGCTTGACTATCTTGAAGTATTTGCTGCTTCCTAACTCTTTGACTTTGTGCAGTTGTGGTTTCACTAGGGAGAGGTTGCTTTTGGCCGTGTCAATTAGTATGTGATTGAAATTGGTCCAGGTGGAACAGGTCATCATAGACATTTTGAGGTCTATATCTTCTTTAAAGCTGGCTTTTTGCTGGTCAGTTGCTTTTTTCCAATCAAATATCTTTTTTTGGCATCCGGGAGCTGCCAGTCTATATTCGAACCAGTCAAAAATTACTTGTACTTGTTTGTGGTCTGTATTGATTGATGACGAGGTAAAAGTTCTTATGTCCAAAACTTTGGTCCCCAGGTGGTTGGTACACCAGATCTGATTTATCTTGATGCACTTGTTTGGGTTATATGTGTGTACTCATTTTTTTTGTTCATTGCTTTGACAATATCCGTCCAGTCATGCAAGTAATTGTAAATTCTTTTTTTCAGGTTAGTTGTTGGCGCGTTAATAGCTGGTGTGCCTGATGGGTATGTGTTGAAGTCTCCTGCCATTATTTGATGTATTGGTTTCTTTAATTTCTTTATGAACCTAATTAGTGACTGGGTTGCTATCTTTCTTTTGTCGTGTTCATGTGGAAGGTATATGGAAATAATAATAATATCGATTTTCGGCTTGAACTTGAGATAAACTGCACACCAGTACTCGTTCTCGGTGAATGTTTTGAAGATGTGATTGCTTAGATCTTTTCCTTTATTAGACAGGAGCCATTTTTTGATGAGTTAGATGATGTGCTTGAGATAATTAGTTTGTTGATGAGTTTCTTGGGAAGAGGGTTTTCATCTGAGATCTTTGTTTCAGAGCAGCACAAGATGGTTCTGTCGTTCTTGAGATCCTGGGATAATGCTACTAATTTGCTTTTGTTATTTAGTCCACGGACATTTAGAGTTGAAATATTGAATAAATTTTTTGATATGGGTATTAGGAGGATTTGGTGGGGGGTTTGTTGTATATTTGCATTTAACGAGTGGTCGAAGTTGGGTAATGATGTCATTTAACAGATAAAGGGAATAAGATCGAAGCCAGGCTCTGGTAGATCTTTGGGGGCTATGTATTCCTCTGGTAATCTGTCAAATGTGTATTTTTTATGGAGTTGCGCGATTAGTGAGGGTAAATTTTCGTCATCTGTAAGGGGGAAACGTATTGAAGACAAATTGTCCTCTGATATTTTATTAAGCTTGTCCATGGAGGGTAAGGGTGGCTTTGAAGCCTGGAACCAATCCTCTGGAATAGTACAGAACTCATATCTCTCGTGCAACTTACACACTATTGGCAGGAAGTCATCATCTTGGTAATTAATATGGTCTTTAATAACGATAGACTTATCCACTTCAGAGATCTTGCTTGGAAGATGTAGACCTCAAAATGTCTATGATGACCTGTCCCACCTGGACCAATTTCAATTACATACTAATTGACGCGGCCAAAAGCAACCTCCCCCTAGTGAAACCACAACTGCACAAAGTCAAAGAGTTAGAAAGCAGCAAATACTTCAAGATAGTCAAGCACATCAAAAGAATTTTGAGCAAAGAAAAAAAGCGAAACTCACCAAACC